CATTGCATAAACAAACGATACATAATTAAATGATGATAAAATAAACGGTGCACATCATTCTGTGTCCAAATGAACAGCAGACAACTGGACGATGTCCAAGTGAACGGTGTCCAAATGAACAGTGCGCATCCTTCTGTGTCCAAGTGAACAGTGGGCGATTGAACGTTGTCCAAGTGAACGGTGTTCAAATGAACGGTGTCCAAGTGAACTGTGTCCAAATGAACGGTGTCCAAGTGAACAGTGTCCAAATGAACGGTGTCCAAGTGAACAGTGCGCACCCTTCTGTGTCCAAGTGAACAAACAAGCAATTCCACGGTGTCCAAGTGAACGGTGTACAAATGAACAGCACGCATCGTTCTGTGTCCAAGTGAACAGTGGACAACTGAACGGTGTCCAAGTGAACGGTGTCCAAGTGAACGGTGTCCAAATGAACGGTGTCCAAGTGAACGGTGTCCAAATGAACGGTGTGTAACTGAACGACGTGCATTTTCTTTCGTGTCCAAAAACAACGGTGCCCAAAAGTTTCGTGTCCAAACGCACCGTGTCCAATTGAACTGTGTGTCAAATGCTCTGTCCAGTGGCAACGTGTCCAATTGTACTGTGTCCAAGTGCACCGCTCCCATTGATTTACCTCGTTCTGATCGACCATCAACGTGCAAAATTGATGAAAACATAGAAAAAGTGAAAAAAATGGTGCTTGAAAATCGTCGTAACAGTTAATAGAGAGTATTATTTAGGCGTTATGAAACATTTGCGTGAGAATATTCGTCGAAAAAGACCAGATTTATAGAAAGACAATTCATGGTTCTTGCATCACGATAATGTTCCATCGCACACATCGATTCTTGTACGGGAATTTTTAACCAAAACTCAACGAACGTGATTCCGCAAGCACCGTATTCATCTGACATAGCTTCTTGTGACATTTTTCCGTTTTCTAAACTCAAGTTGCCACTCCAAGGAAAGCGTTTTGAATCAATTGATGCCATAAAAGAAAATTCGCAACGATAGCTGAAGGCAATATCAATTTCAGTGTACAAAAAGTGCTTTGAGAACTAAGTCAAGTGTTAGCACCAGTGCATTGCATCAAATGGAGAGTATTTTGAAGGAAATAAAAAAATATTACTGAATAAACAATTACTTTGTGTTTTATTTAATTCTAGTTAAACAATTATTTTTTTAAATTATAATAATATATTTGAAGTAATATATTAATCTTATTCGCTCACTATTTCATGACGACTTATCTCTTTTTTTCTTTTCTTCTTAAGGTTCAGCAATACACGATAACGAATATTCGTAGTAATATTCATAACATAACCGGTTATATAAATTATATTTATATATGGTGAAATATAACAAAATATAAGTAATAATATTTGTAATTAGTTACGTAAATAATTTTGTTATACTATACACATTATATAAGAATAATATAATGAACGAAATAGAAATATTTTAATATTCCGAATAATATAAACATTATAATATAATATATTATAATATAATATTTTACAAATTAAATTTCAATTTAAGATATAGAAGCTTAATAATATTTGAAAAATGTTAAAAACGTTTTATAAAATTTTTCATCAACAAAAATTAAATTAATTTTAAAATTTAATTAAATTAATTATCAAAATATTATTTATTCTATTGTATGTAATTGTTACAATAATGATATTGTTCGAAGAAATATTTAAAACAAAAATATTCTTTGCGCTATGCACAACGTATAAAAGCCATTTTACTATTACATCTTATATATATGTTTTTCTTCTTTAAAATAACAAAAATTTATCGGATTATCAAACTTTTCAGGCCGTGTTGATAAATATCCACTTTTGTACCAACTATATTTAAATAGATTTTGAAATCTTGGAGAAGAAAGATGATTATATATTAAACTTTGTAATTTTATTAGGAGTGTGCATTAATTTTAAGGGATTTTTTAGTAAAAGTACGGTTTTATTGTGAAAAAATGGTTACAAATTGATCATTCAAAATATTGTCCATCGCTAGCCATTACTTTGTCCCATCTTTCTGGTAATATGGATTCCACGTCGAAAGAACGACACATCTTTTGAGACTATCCACGAATCGACCCATTTTTTGGTATCCTCATAAGCATGGAAGCGCTACTCAGACAGGCTATGAGTCATCGATCGAAATAGGTGGTAATCGGAAGGAACAATATTTGGAGAATACAGCGGGTGTGGTAGGACATCCCAGTTAAGCGCTTCTAACGTTTCCTTGACCGCAACATGTGACCGAGCGTTGTCGTGCTAGAAAATTACTTTGTCGTATCTTCTCCCGTAATCTGGCCGTTTTTGCTTCAATGCTCGGTTCAATTGCATCAATTGTTGTTGGTAGCATTCCCCAGTGATGGGAATTTTCGTTGGATTAGAGCAGCTCATAATACACTACACCCAGCTGATCCTACCAAATACGGAGCATGAGCTTAGCGCCATGAATATTCGGCTTTGCCGTCGATGTTGATGGTTCGCCTGGCCTGCACCATGATTTTTTGCGCTTCAGATTATCGTAGCGTATCTACTTTTCATCACCTGTCATGATACGATGCAAAAAATTGTTTTTCTGTGTCTTTGAAACAACAATTCATATTTTGCGCCTTTCGATGTCCCTCGGCTTCAATTCGTACGGCATCCAATTTCCTTGCTTTTGAATCATTCCAATGGCCTTCAAACGTCTGGAAATCGTTGGTCGATCAACATTTAATGATTCTGCAAGTTCTTTTTACGTTTGACTCGGGTCTTGATCGAGTAAAGCTTCCATTTCCTCATCTTCAAACTTTTTCGGCTAGCCTGGACGTTTCTTGTCTTCCGTGTCAAAATTACCTTTTTTATAGCGTCGAAACCAGTACTCACATCGATGTTGAAATCGATGGAGTATAATCACCATAAACTTCCGACAGCATTCGTTGACTCTCAACAATACTTTTCTTCAAATGGAAACAAAAAAGCAAAGCTTCCCGCAAATTGCCTTTTGTTGGCACAAAATTCAACATATTCAATGCTCAAAAAAACAATGTTGTTTACACTTCGGCAAAATGACACATACTGAAAACTAAAGTCACATGTATGTGCTTTGACATGAAGGTAACAACAATATGGCCTGATGCGATATAGTACTAGTTAGGTTATTTCTTAAAAATCCTTTAAAATTAATGCACACTCTCAATATTATATTATTACGTGTATGTAAATTTATGCCATAATTATGTGAAATAACATTATCAGAGAAACATCGAACAAAATGTTTCCAAACTCTAAAGCCAAATACGTCTAAAGGTAATTTGTACAAAAGCAGTTGTTTTTTTTGGTATTGTTAAAATATTTGTTCATCTGCTGGTATAAATTCTTTTAATTGTTCCGAACAATGTCCTGTCCATGAATCAACCCAAATAGCCAAACCTGCGCGAGCAGATTTCACGCAGAATCTGTCAACAGTGTTTGTAGACAGAATGGCAATAGATTGCACACAGAATCTGTTCTGACGACAAATTGGTGACAGACTGCGCGCAAAGGCTGTTGACAGACTCTGACGACAGCCTCACGGCAGATTGCGCGTGGATTCTGTTTCGTAGATAGGCTATTTAATTTTACCAAGGGCCATATGTACGCTATTAAATGGGGTTCCACATATACACCATGTAAAACTCCGAGAGAAGTCAAGATAATTATATTGTGCAATAATAGTACACATATACACAATAAAAAACAATTTTTACTTTTTAAAATTGTATTATACGTTTCTGATAAAAAAGCAACAATAATAGAGTTCTGATAAAAAAAACAACAAATAACGAGTAGAAATATAGAATAGTACAATGGTTAAATGGCCAGTTTAAATGGGCATTTAAGGACGTACACGCACCGGCGTTAATGCCGTCCGAATATCCGTGTGACTCGCACACGATAACGCGTCACTCATCACTGCTGCGTGTAGGTGAGCCACGAGCAGCACGGAGTGGCGGAGGGAGCTAGCGGTATACGATCGTCGGACGCTTGGAGAGGGAATAGTGGTGGGAGCATAGACATATATAACTAGACTGCGCATGCTACGCTGGCCGTTAAAGCAATGAAGTGAGATAGAAAATGGCTCGGAGGATCTCTTTCTCTCTCGCACAGTAAGAAAAATGGGGGAAGCTGGATGAGAGTTGCAGGGGAACCAACGCAAGCCTCCCATTAATACTCCCCTCCCTTGCTAACCTCATGCGTATGTTTTGCCAGCGCAAGTTCAATTCTCGACAAATACATTTTTTTTTATTTATTATTTTAATACTACCTTTGGACTCGCTGATTATTGAAAACAATTACAGCTGTTAATTACATGAAGAATGATTTTAAAAAAAGTGAAAACTGAAAAAAT